TACTTTTCGAAAAAAAAAATTAGATTGGTGAAAATTTTGAATGGCATTCATAATGACATGTTTCACGGTGTGCACTACCTTTGAGAAGAACTTTCCTAATATATATATATATATATATATATATATATATATATATATATATATATATATATATATATATATATATATATATATATATATATATATATATATATATATATAATCATAAAAGAAAAAGAAAATGTACAGTTTCCAAATTTCATTTAACACAAGCGCTTTCTGGATTTAACAATCCTTCTTCAGGTGTACATACTTTGAACTGATTTGCTTTGCTTGGAGGAGCTTGACTATTTAACAAACTTTGAAATGAAAACAAGCAACTTTTATGGACTACCAAAAATACATAAAAGCAATGATATCAAGATTGCCATAGAAGAACAGAACCAAACACACATTGCTACTACAGAACCAAAAGATCTGAAACTGTGACCAATTGTGGCTGGCCCTGCTTGTCCCACTCATAGACCGAGTATAATTTTATAGATATTCTCTTCAAAGATCTGTGTGAAAAAGTCCCGAGCTACACACGAGATAGCATAGATTTTTTAAACAAATTTCCTGAAAAGGTGGAGCCAAATACACTACTTGTAACCTTTAATGTGAAGAGTCTACATACTAATATTCCGCATGATCTTGGACTAGAAGCTATTAAATTTTGGATTGAAAAACACCCAGAGTTAATTCCAAGAGATTTTTCTATGGAATTTATCTTAGATTCAATCAAATTTATACTGGAAAATAACACGTTTCAATTTGATGGAGATTTTTATAAACAGATCAAAGGCACCGCCATGGGGACTAAAATGGCACCAACATACAGCATCCTGGTTATGGGATTTTTTGAAGAAACATTATATCAAAAGTTTTTTGAAGAAATGGGACAAGAGATTGGAGAACATTTAAGAGAATCTTGGAAACGATTTTTAGATGACTGTTTCCTACTTTGGAACAAATCAGAAGAAGATCTACAAAAAGTTTACACGTTACTAAATTCAATAAATCCAAGACTTCAATTTACCATGGAGCACAGTGATTCTTCAATTCCTTTCCTTTACGTCATGGTCATAAGCAAGACTCACATATCTTTACTGATATCTTTTATAAAACCACGGATACACACCAATATCTAAACTTCACCTCGTGTCATCCTACTCACACCAAAAGGAATATTCCTTGCAATTTAGCCAGAAGAATTTGTACGATTGTAAAAGATACATATACTAGAAATCGAAGGTTGACAGAACTAAAAACATTTCTTCTTGCGTTGTGCAAGAAGAAATGTTTTTAGTTCTGTCAACCTTCGATTTCTAGTATATGTATCTTTTACAATCGTACAAAATCGTACAGAAAATCTTATCCTTTCTGCCATAGAAGAATCCAAGAAAATCCCGCAACATATATAAAGAACGACCAGAAGAAAGGACAAAGATCCCTTCTTAATCCCTTTTGTAACAACATCCAAAACATATTAATATATTCCAAGAGGCGAAAAAGATTTTACAATCATCGAACGGGACAATGATCTGCAACAACTTATACAGAAATCGGACTTAATTCACAGCCAGCGACAACCACCCAATTTAAAAAAATTATTAACCAGAGCTAAATTCAACTCCATTCCTGAACAATACACAGTATCAAAATGCGGTGATCCCAGATGTGGTACCTGCCCTTATATACGAACAGGATCCTCTATTATTTTCAAGTGTGGAAAAACATTTTTTGTAAATGAAAACATGTCGTGTAAAACCAAAAATCTTCTTTATTGTATAACTTGTAACAACTGCGGAGAGGAATACATCGGTCAAACCGGATCCCAATTAACCGCCCGTATGCGCGTCCACCGTCAGCAAATCAATAATCCGAGCGTTAGAAACACGCCATGCAGTGAGCATTTCGACATTTGCTCTCAAGGAAACTACTGTGTCTTTCCATTTTGTAAACTTAGGAACGATTCAGCCGTAATGAGAATAGTGAAAGAGAACTACTTTAAAAATATATTTTCACCAAAACTGAACAAACATTATTTATTTTGATAAGTTCATGTCTTTCTTGTATAATTAATTTCTAAAATACTTTGTTTATTGAGACTGAGAAAATCATGATTTATTGTCCAATTCAATTTTCCCGAACTTTTACGTTATACTATGACGTCATGGATTTATTCCTTCCCTGCAAAGACACTCATGACGTCATGACGTCATAGTTAACGTTCCCAAGCAAAACAAATCAGTTCAAAGTATGTACTCCTGAAGAAGGATTGTTAAATTGTTAAAATGTGTTAAATGAAATTTGGAAACTGTGCATTTTCTTTTTCTTTTGTGATTATTTTTACTGTGTGACATCATATATATATATATATATATATATATATATATATATATATATATATATATATATATATATATATATATATATATATATATATATATATATATATGGTGTTAAGCCTTGTTAATCTTAACATATTTGATAACTTTTGGTTGAGAAAAGATAGGTCTCTTATATTTAAAATGATCATTGTCACCACGCAGCCATCTCTTCTGTTTTTGTGACCTTCACTTGCACACCCCGATTCCGAATTTTTTTTTTTTAATTTGCATCACGAACGATTTTTTTTCAAATGGTCACTTGGACCAACATTTTCTTGAAAGATATCAGTCCGTCCAAATTCTTCCTGTCCTTGCCGACAGGACCGACGGTTTTTAACAAGCCTGTATTTGACATGTGGTTTACCTGTGACAAGACCATTCCATATTTTCTATGGTTTTTAACCGTTCACGGTAGCTCAGTCGGTAGAGCGCTCGCTTCGTGATCGGGAGGTCGTGAGTTCAAATCTCGGCCGCGACTGACCTAAGTCGATAAAATGGGTAGCAACTGTTCCTTCGCCATGCGCTCGGCACTTTGAAGTGAAAGTTGCGGGTCCTTCGGATGAGACCTTAAAAACCGAATGTCACAGTAGGCGTTGGCACGATAAAGATCCCTCACTGCTCAATGGCTCTGAGTGCCGAGTAAAGGTCAAAATTTGAAGCCCTTTACCGGTATATGGTGACTTCTCTATATGAGTGAAAAATTCTCGAATGGGACGTAAAACAACATATAATCAATCAATCTATGGTTTTTGACCTTGTGACATAGACCGTAAAGCTTAACCTTAAAATTAGTATACTTTCAAAATTCTGTCTGTTTCTGTCTGTCTGTCTGTCATGCTATTTGTATGTCTGCCTGTCCTTGTAATCATGCTCAGGCTACAATTTTGTAACGATCATTGGAAGCTTTTACTTGGACAAAGATCGTTTGTGTCCTGAGGGTGTAGCATGACTTTAACCCCCAGTTCCAGCAAGTGGTTAAGGTCTTAGACAGAAAAGTGTAAAATTCATGTCCAGTCTGCAACTTTCATATAAAGACAAACTGGAAGTTCAAACCCCATTCAAAGATTGTTTATGACCTGTAGGTTTGTCATGACCTTTACCCAAAGTCATTTGATCAAATTCAAGGTCGCTTATAGAAAAATGTTTAATTTCTGACCTGATCATATCTCATAATGGAAAACAATGGAGACACGTATCACAAAAATTGCATATGACTTAAAGTATACATGTGTTGACTTTGATTCAAGAATTCAAGCAAGTTCAAGGTCACTGGCACAAAATTTGCATCATTTATTTCTAGTCAATAACTCAAATAGAGTTTGATTAGATGAATCATGATTCTTGACATAAAAAAGAAAGATTATTTTGGCAAGTTCAAGGTCACTGGCAGAAAAGGATAAAATTTGTGTCCAGTTTGTTATTCTCTAATGGATAAGTATTGGAAGTTGAAACTTTAAACAGAGTTTAAATTTAAGCTGAAGGCATGTCATAACTCTGACCCAAGGTGAATGTGGCAAAGTCAAGGTCACTGCCAAAAAAGTGTAATAATTATGTCAGGTGAATAATTTTCTAAAGGCTCAAGTGACCTTGTTTTCTGATCAAAATTTGTCTGTTGTCTGTCTCGTCATTTTTGGCATTGGTGTCGGCGTAAACTTTTCGCAATTTTAACTTCATCTCCAGTTTCAACCAGTCTTGCCACAAAGCATCCTTGGGTGACGGGAATTAGAATTTGTTCCTTGAAGGGCCATGCCCTTTTTCAAGGGGAGAAAATTAAGAATTAGTGTAAATTCAATTTTTTATTCAAGTCATGCGCCCTCCCTTGCAAGGAGGGGGGGGACACTTATCAATACAGAATTGATTCCTTCTTGTTTTTTTTTCTAGTCAAAGTCCTCAGTTGAGCAACGTGACCCATGGGTCTCTTGTTAAAACCACAGTTGTTTGGCAAGTTCAAGGTCACAGAAAGTTGCATATAGGCACTTTGCAAAAATAACAGGGGAAGGGTATGTAATTCTATGAGCACACTCACAGTACTTCAAAACACACTGTACATCATCCTATCTATAGAAAATGTCATTTCAGAAAATGCATGTTTAAATGATATTGAGCTGTGAATTAATATTTGTAAGAAAGCCAGGTTTGTTATCATGACAATTATTTTGTACATTATAAAGCTGAAACATTGGACTGTAAATACAATATAGTAGAATGTAATGTTTCAAATGATTTTATATTATAATCTATAAAAAATCTAAAAGTTTTAGAGTATTTTGCAATCTTTATATATATAAATTTGTAAATATTGATTTGTTAGACAGGTTTTATTGTAAACACTAAGAGTCTGCTATTTATTGAGACATTGAAAGGACTAAGCCTCCAGTGTTTATATGTCTTAATTCTATTCAATTCCACAGTTTCTTAAAACCCAAACATTGATACATGAGTAAATTAAAAAGAGAAACCTGTTATTGATGTAGGTAATTATGACATAATGTTGTTATTGACAGAGATGTCTCCCTGACTGAGGAAATCAATACGGGATTTTGTTATAAAACCACAGGATAAAGATGAAATAAATGTCTGCTGTAAATGATGTATAGATTAGTGTTACATAAATCTGTCACAGTGCCATATGTTAGGAGTGGTCATCACATTTCCCGTGTGACGTCAGACCGGCTCTGGATCAGTGATGGTAAAAATCTCATCTTGACAAACACAGCAGGTGATAAACTACATCAACTGACAGATATACGTAGTTATGGTTATGGAGTACATACAGTGACAAGTGACAGTGATTTAATTTATATAGACAGTGACGGTAACATCAACAAACTGTCTACAGATAACAGAGTAAAGACTACATTAATAAAGTACAACACAGCACCATGGGAACCACTGTGTGTCTACAGCTCCCCCTCCACTGGAGACCTGCTGGTCGGGATGTTTTACTACACTAATTTTACATATACAGGCAAGGTAGTGCGGTATAACTCCACAGGAGAACACATACAGACCATACAATATGACATCATCAACAAAGGTCAGAGACTGTATTGGAGACCTAGCTATATCAAAGAGAACCACAATGGTGATGTTATTGTGTCTGACTGGCTCCGTGCTGTAGTGGTGACAGAGCATGGTGGTAAACACCGCTTCTCCTACACAGGACCTCCATCAGGATCAGAACTATCACCACAAGGAATCTGTACTGACGCGCTGTCACACATCCTGGTGTGTGATTATAACACCCATACAGTACAGATGATTGATAAAAACGGACAATTCCTATCACAGATAGAGACACCACAACACGGGACATATACACCATACGGCCTGAGTTATGATTATGAAAGACAGCTTCTCTGGATTGGATCAGAGAACAACAACACAGTGAACATATACAGACTTATCAATGGAGTTGACAATCTGACTGGTAAGTAATACTGTTGTATGATTTTGTGTTTTGTTTAACAATATTTTGTGTGTACAATATAATAACTACAATTAAATAATAATGGGGGATGTCATTAGTGACTTATTATATTCATTGTTTTGAATGTAATTACAAGACATTAATAGATAATTATAGGCATTGTACTAAGTGTTATTACATTACATGTTTAACTATAATTATAACTTGTTTCATTAAATAACATAAAAACATTTCTGAGGTAAGGACATCATAAATTGTTGTTTAACTATATAGTGTATAATTTTTGATAAGGCTGGGTATGTTTGTTATTTAATTAGATTGTATTTAATTATATATAATTTTTGATAAGGCTGGGTATTAGTGTTATATAATTAGATTTCATTATATGATTGAATAATTCCCATCTCTCTAATTGGCTGAGATCCAACAATGTTAGAAAAATACTACGTTATATTGACCTGCATGTGACCTTCCAGGTAAATAAAAGGAATTATTTTTTCAACAATGGACCAAAAATAGATAGGGAAATTCCAAATTCTTGCAAATAGTTTTGGAAAGTTATTTCACTTGCACCTGATTTCCACTCATATGAACATAACATTAAGGCCCATAGATTCTCGGGTGAGGTTTGGGGCGGGGGGAGGGGGGGAGGGGTGCAGGAGGTCTGCCCCTCTCCCTACCTTTTGAGAATATAAAGTTTTAATTTAAATTTTAAGGATAAAATAATTTAATGAAAGTCCCCCTCCCCTCTTTTAATGGACATTATTACATCCCACCAAATAAAATTTTGAGTTGGAAGAATTCTTTTCCTTTTGGGGCAGGGGGGAGGGGGTGGTAGTAAAAGATTTTTTAAGGTAAGTTGTCACTTTCCCCCCTTATAATGCCCCCTTTTCAAATCAATCCTATATATATGCCTGACATTTATTTTTTCTACATTGCACCTAAACTAGAATTAAAAATTTCAAAATAATACCACCGGTTGTTTTTAACCCTGTTTCTCTCATTATGTTTGGCTAGTACTTCAGTAGACTTGAACAAGTAAGATGGCACGGATTGCTTAATGAGTGTGTGTCATTTAATCTTTGAATCATGTAATAAAACAATTATTGCTGTTTTTTTCGGTAAATACGATGATTTAGCCACCTCCGAAGTACAATATTTGGGCTCGGTGAATATAGCACTCCTCAGGTGTCTAAATCATCGTATTGACCTCAAAAACCAGCAATAATTGTATAGTATTTAACTATATATAATTTTTGATAAGGCTGGGTATATATTTGTTATTTGATTAGAGTTCTTTTAATGACATTGTCAAGGCACGGTTTTCCAGAGTAAAAATTTTAAAAAGTCACTAAGAGTGATCTCTCTTGTTAAAGAATTCAACCTTAAAAAGTGTGTTTCTGAGTTTTACAAACATTCATCTCTGTAGCTAGAAAGGTTTTGATAAACATTGTGTTTAGGGATCAGACAGTCTACAGATCATTACTGACCATAGCTATGCTGGGGAAGTGGAAAGGGAGATAACTCCATAATAAAGAACTCTGTAGAAATGTCTCAGTCATGTATCTTAATTTGTAGTTTTAACCAAAATATTAAAAATATCACAGGAAATGAGGATACAGTAATATAATTTAATTTTGTTTCTATTCTAGCCTCTGACTGGTTAATATTCAAAAAGGAACACAAAATATTTCTGTATAACCTGGTTTGGTATGGGGACACACACCCCTGACAACCAGCTGAATCATCTGTATCCATACAATCCTCTCATTTCCAGTCCTCGGGATTCATGGAAAATTCCAGATTTAATAAACGTACCTTTAACTTCAAACAATAATTCGATCTTACCACATGTAAACAAACAAACTTCCGTTACTTCCGTTACTACGGTTGTATTATTGAGCAGCAAATTTGAATAAATAAAAGCAACAAAATTTTACACCCATAATTATTTAATGATTTTAAAATTAAATTATAAGGAATGACTCTAATTCTTGGCCAAATTATTCGAGTATAACCTGGTTTGGGTCAGTTTACGCTGTTTTATAATCCGTTTCGCAGATTATAAAGCGTAAGCTGACCCAAACCAGGTTATACTCGAATAATTTGGCCAAGAATTAGAGTCATTCCTAATGTATTTAATACATATACAGGTAATATATACATGAAATGTAAGGGTTTTAGAGAAATTTATGGTGAAGATTTCTTAAGGTGCTTTTCATAACATTCTACATAGAAAATGCATTGAGAATTGATAAAATAAAAATTACATGATTGATTTGACAAATTTAAATAGGAAGTGTGGCTTGATCGATTTCGAGTTTAAGAGTACTACTGTACATGTTTGATACTACTACATCTGAACAAGAAGCCTGTAACTAAAACTACTGATTTTGTGCAGATCAAACTTTAATGTATATATTCTGTACTGCATTATCATGTAAAGAGTGCTAAGTTCTCTGATTGGCTCATGATACAAGTCACATTGATTTCGTCTTCTATTTGTGTTGACATCATAACTGTGTATTAAACTTAAAGTGAGGAACTGGAAGGGTATACAGTTATGAAATGGGTGTGTGTAGGGGGGGGGGGGGGCTAGGAGATTAGGGTTAGGTATTGTGGTAGATCTTCTTAGCATTATATATTAGTTGATAATTAGTATGGTTTTTTTCAATGATCAATTCAAACAAAAGAGATCACTACAATATTTTACAGAACTTTCAACAGATGACAATATGTTATAAACACCATAGATAATAACACAGCTCTGTCTTAAGGAATGATGTGTAAATGTTTATGCAGGATATGTAATATTTTTTTCTGCAAGGGCTGCAACACTTATTCCAACACTAACATTTACACAACCAAAGAAAGCTTTTTTCTTGTTAAACATGTTGAAATTATATTATAATAACACATTTTAAGGCAGAAATTATGAACATTATGAATATTTATAATACATATGAAATGCATTTTGAAAACATCATGGAGGCGACTTGTCTTTCTATTGATTGTATTGGGGGTGACTTGTCTTTGGATGTGAAGTGTCCTGATTCTGTTTTAATGTCATGGTCATTGTGGTGGGTGTGACTTGTTTTTGGATGTGAGGTGTCCTGATTCTGTTTTAATGTCATGGTCATTGTATTGGGGGTGACTTGTCTATGGATGTGAGGTGTCCTGATTCTGTTTCAATTTCATGGTCATTGTGTTGGGTGTGACTTGTCTTTGGATGTGAGGTGTCCTGATTCTGTTTTAATGTCATGGTCATTGTATTGGGGGTGACTTGTCTATGGATGTGAGGTGTCTTGATTCTGTTTTAATGTCATGGTCATTGTGTTGGGGGTGACTTGTCTATGGATGTGAGGTTTCCTGATTCTGTTTTAATGTCATGGTCATTGTGGTGGGTGTGACTTGTTTTTGGATGTGAGGTGTCCTGATTCTGTTTTAATGTCATGGTCATTGTATTGGGGGTGACTTGTCTATGGATGTGAGGTGTCCTGATTCTGTTTTAATTTCATGGTCATTGTGTTGGGTGTGACTTGTCTTTGGATGTGAGGTGTCCTGATTCTGTTTTAATGTCATGGTCATTGTATTGGGTGTGACTTGTCTATGGATGTGAGGTGTCCTGATTCTGTTTTAATGTCATGGTCATTGTGTTGGGGGTGACTTGTCTATGGATGTAAGGTTTCCTGATTCTGTTTTAATGTCATGGCCATTGTGGTGGGTGTGACTTGTCTATGGGTGTGAGGTGTCCTGATTCTGTTTTAATTTCATGGTCATTGTGTTGGGTGTGACTTGTCTATGGATGTAATGATGTCCTGATTCTGTTTTAATGTCATGGTCATTGTGTTGGGGGTGACTTGTCTTCGGATATGAGGTGTCCTGAATCTGTTTTAATGTCACGGTCATTGTGTTGGGGGTGACTTGTCTATGGATGTGAGGTGTCCTGATTCTGTTTTAATTCCATGGTCATTGTGTTTGGGGGTGACTTGTCTTTGGATGTGAGGTGTCCTGATTCTGTTTTAATGTCATGGTCATTGTGGTGGGTGTGACTTGTCTATGGGTGTGAGGTGTCCTGATTCTGTTTTAATTTCATGGTCATTGTGTTGGGTGTGACTTGTCTATGGGTGTAATGATGTCCTGATTCTGTTTTAATGTCATGGTCATTGTGTTGGGGGTGACTTGTCTTCGGATATGAGGTGTCCTGAATCTGTTTTAATGTCACGGTCATTGTGTTGGGGGTGACTTGTCTATGGATGTGAGGTGTCCTGATTCTGTTTTAATTCCATGGTCATTGTGTTTGGGGGTGACTTGTCTTTGGATGTGAGGTGTCCTGATTCTGTTTTAATGTCATGGTCATTGTATTGGGGGTGACTTGTCTTTGGATGTGAAGTGTCTTAATTTTGTTTTAATGTCATGGTCATTGGGTTTGGGGGTGACTTGTCTTTGGATGTTAGGTGTCCTGATTCTGTTTCAATGTCATGGTCATTGTGTTGGGGATGACTTGTCTCTGGATGTGAGGTGTCCTGATTCTGATTTAATGTCAAGGTCGTTTAATTTCTCTGATCATTGAATTGTTTGGATTTAAAAAAACAAGATTCTTAACCCCCCAAAAAAGTTATTTTAAATTAGTCATGGCACATGTACACGTATTAAGTAACTTTCTCACAGACTCGATACTTTTTTATTTTGATAAATAATAGCTATAAAAAGCAGGCAAGCATTATGGTCTCCAGAGCTTTTTTACCTTGTACTTGTGTGTAGTTGTTGTTGAAATGTAAAGCAGATAAATTTGTTTATATATGTTTTTAGGTCACATGAGTTAATCAAGTGACGCATTGCTATTTGCTATCTGTGTGTCCATTGTCAGTGTCATCCGTTAACTTTAAACATTTTCAGCATCTTCTCTGGAAGTACTGAACCAATTTCAACCAGTTTTTACATATAGCATCTATTAATGTAGGAAAAGAGAAATAATTGTAAATTTCATGCCAAAAGGA